CCAAATTTCCTTAATAATGACATTTATAGAAAAAGAAAGAGCTGAGTCACTGTGAGCCTGAAGCCCAAAAATGACTTCAGTCATTCTACAGAATTCAGAATCTCAGAAATAGAAATAGATGCCCTTGACCGCAATTGCTCTTTCTTTGTCTTACAGATGCTTTAATCTTTTGCCCTAAGCGAAAGAAGTGATTTTAAAAGGGAAGTAAATGATTCTGAATTTATGGCATTCAGAATATGAATCATAAAGGTTATTTGGGGGAACATTTTACATGTAGGAAGTGCAACAAACTACTTAAGTTCACGGAATGAGAGTCCAGTACTCCTCTGTCTCTTTTTCTAAAGTGACCCTGCCTCCATACATGAGAAATGTTTTCATCTTCTTTTAACTTAGTGGGCATTTGATATTACACTAGTGACCTCGTAGTTTAATATTTTCTTTTCAGAGCTTATGTCCTGTGTTTTAGAACACTTCTGCTAAAAAAATAATTTCTGGTGGGTAGTGTAGTGACTTCAAAACAGTTGAAGGAAAAGCAAATAAGCTGGCCAAATGGGAACTAGGTTTATAGGACACAATGTTGGGGAGAAAAGAGTTGAAAATTAGAATGTAACCAAGAGAATTGAACATTGGCTTTATCCAGTACTATGAAACAGCAAATTTGTATTCACCTTTAATGCCCTTATCCTTGACCTCTACCCCTTGTTAAGTAATCAAGAACTAATACTGAGCACTGAGAGCCTTATAGCCTCCCCTCAGCTACTCTGAGCAGAACCTTATCTGGATATATCTTCTCTTTTCCATCCTTACATCTCATCAACGCTAAACTGTTGTGATTTTTTCATTCCCCTGCTTCTACTTCTAGCTATTTTTATTAGGAAGGTGCTCATAAACTAATACATGTGTGATATTACATGTAAATAATTCTGAGGTTTCTCTTCCCTCACAGAAGTGAATGGTGACTCAGCCTTAGCTTATTTCCTGCAAAATGCATCTATCCACCCATGGAGTGCCTTCTCTGACACTGCCAAATCAGTTCCCAGAATTTATGTTGGAAGGTGGCAATAAAGGTAGAACCTGAGAGGAGGGGGGAGAAAGAAAAAAGGTTATTTTCAAAATAAAGAGATAAGAGGATTTTGGAAATTTAGGGCAAATGAAAGGTGCTGGAGCAGTGTGGGTATAATTGGGGAAGAGGGAAAAAAGATGAAAGAGTTGTTGCTGAAGGTGGTTAAAAAATCAACTTTAATACATTTTTTAAAATAGAATGTAATTCCACTTTTATTACTAATGGATATTTGATCTGGGCGTCTACAAATGAGAGTTTATATCCAGACTGGACCATATGAGTCAGAGGTTAAAAGGGTTACCCATTACTTTGAGGTGACCAACCCTGACCAGGATTTCCCCAATTTTAGCGCTGAAATTTTCATATCCTGGGTACTTCTTTATTCTTTGTTAAACTGAGATGGTTGGTTACCCTAAGTCATTTTTATTGACTAATAAATGGCTTTATGTGTTATGTTTTCTGAGAGTATAATAAACTCTCATTTTTCCTGAGAATGGTTGCTGAGGATAAAGAGGAAAGTATAATGGCATTTACTGGAAGAGAAAAAGAAGGAAAAAAAGGGGGAAGAAGAGAATAAAAGAAAGAATGAAATAAAGTGTGTGTGTGTGTGTGTGTGTGTGTGTGTGTGTGCGCGCGCGTGTGTGTTTATAAAGAGGAGCTCTTAACTTAAAGCGGTAGTTTGCAACCAGGTACAATTCTATTTGGCAGAGTTTGAAGATAGTTTGACACAATTGACATCTTCTGGCATCTACTGAATATAGGGCAAAGATGCTACTAAACATCCTACAATGTACAGCAGCCGTCCCCAACCTTTCTGGCACCAGGGACCGGTGCTCCTCTGAGAATCTTATGCCTGATGATCTGACGTGGAGCTGAGGTGGTGATGCTAGCGCTTGCTGGCTCACCTGCCGCTCACATTCTGCTGTGAGGCCTGATTCTTGACGGGCTATGAACTGGTACTGGTACTGGTCTGTGACCCGGGGGATCCCTGATGTACAGGACAGCTCTCCACAGTATAGAATTATTCAGCCAAAAATGTCAACAATGATGAGGTTGAGAAATCTTGACCCAAGGAATGCATCATTAATAAAGGATAGCACACATCAGAAAAGTGTAGGAGAGTTCGGGATGCAGTCTTCTCGTCTGTTCTTAAATCACATCACAGAGTGACACTGAAAACCTATTTTTCCCCTAAGTTGGGAAAATTGGACTGTCACTTGCAAAAGAATGAAAATGGACCACTATATTATACCACACACAAAAACTAACTCAAAATGGATTAAAGACTTGAATGTAAGACCTGAAATCATAAAATTAGAAGAAAACGTAGATAGTAAACTCCTTGATATAGGTCTTGACAATGATTTTTTGAATCTGACACCAAAAGTGAAAGCAACAAAAGAAAAAAACAAGCAAGTGGGACTGATGCTGGACAGGGCAAATTTCCCTGAGTAGAGGGGAGACCAAGCCCTGCACTGAGAGAAGAGGGTCCTTTGGCAGAGAGTGTAGAAAGAATTCAACATACACACCAAGGTAGAGTCAAAGTGAAAGTTTATTAGAAAAGGGATAACACTCCACAGAGTGGGGTCTCCTCTCAGAGTCAGAGAGTGAGAAGGACTAAGAGAGTTGAGGACAGTGAGAGAGACAGAGTAAAGGGTAATGAGAGAAAGACAGTGAGTGGGACCCTCCCCCCCACACCCCCGCCCCAGTGTTCAGGGAATTCAGTTTGCATGTCATTCTTTAGTTCTTGTGAGTTACAGTTTCAAGACTTTGTTTATCCATTTCCTTTGATATGGATATACAGTGAGGAAGGGAAGGGGAAGAGTATGTAGCCTGAAAGGCTTGCTGGCATTTCCCAGCCTTTAATCCATAGGTTCCCCATGGTTTTAGCCATAGGGAATGAATAATTTTACTTGTGTAGGGCAGCCACATAAAGACTGTTGTTCCTGTTTCTCCTTCTGCAGGTGTGGGGAAATGGGTCGTTAGCAATCCCAGCAGAAATATTCCTTTGTTCTGCAGGTGTCTTTCTGGCCTGGGCCGCAGGCTGATCAGCATAAGGCAGTCTCTGAATGTAGCTTGATTAACATTTTCATTCTCTTGCCTCCTCCCTGCATTAGGACTATTTATGGAATATTAGTACAACCATAAAAATATTGAAGTCTAGCCATTTGCAACAACATGGAGTGTATTACGCTAAGTGAAATAAGTCAGAGAACAACAAATACAAATGATCTCTCATATGTGAAACCTAAACAAACAGAACAGATTGGTGGTTGCAAGAGGTAGTGGTAGGGGATGGGGAAAATGGGTGAACCGTTGTTGTTGTTGTTGTTGTTTTTTAGTTTAAATAAATTGAATAAAAATTAAAAAGAAAAACAAAACCATTACCCCAATGCATAGGAATCACAGACATTTGTCCTCTCAAAGGGGCTGGGAGGTGGCAAGCATTTAGAGCTTTTAGACTTCTCTCCAAAAACAATTTCAGTGACCTCAGATTACAGGCAATAATTTTTTGCTTCTTGATTTTTAAAACCAGGATGTTTATAGGTGCTTGTTACACATGGCTTTTAGTTACCTTTTACAAAGTATTCTTAAGATAAAAGAAATTATAAAATGTCCAAAAATAAATAAAGAAAAAATGTTTGTCATGGTGGCCTGTATTCTAATCACAAGACTAATTACAGGCAAGCATATGCAAATCACTAAAGGGAAGTCTTCAAGGTCAAAGGCCTTTGTGGTACTTCAAGTTATATAAAGCAACAACTGGAATTCCCACACTTTGACCTGCCCATGAAAAATAGTCCTTATAGCTTCTAGGACATTGAGTTTAATTCAAGAACTATTTGATAAACGTTAAACTTTTTGCTGAAGTTCTAGAGCTTAACTTTCCTAAAGTCACTTTAAAAAAGTAGGCTATTCTAAAGAATACAAAAATTTTCCAACTAGCCATTCTAACTGAAGTTAAGACTGATGTATTATTTATGATTTTAATATTTACCATATTAGAAAACAATTGGAAAATATTTATACATATTTATTTGTTAACTTACTTAAAACAAAAAATAAGCCTATTATATGTTATCATGAAGTAAAGTTTTTTTTCTAACTTTGGCTGACTTCAAAGCCCAGGAGCCTCTTAGTCTTGACCCTCACTGACCCTGGAAGGTAGGGTACAGTGGATGAGTGGCTGCTACTTACATGTCAACCTGCTGTCATCCCTCATACCACAAGTACAAAATCTGAAACCCATTCTTCTTCTCACTTCAAATTGGTAACTTAATTTGTAACTCTACCAGAACTATAAAAGGAAGATAGAGCTTAAAACAAATCCCCCAAAAGGCATTTCCACCATCTCATATATATTTGGAACTCATTGAAGACTAGAAAAACAGGTGGTTTCTAGTACATCTACAAATAACATTGAGCCTGAAAACCATTTTCTGAAACAAGTTTTTAAGTGCCAATCCCAAAACGAGTGACTTTTTTTGGTTGCATATTGGTTTTTGAATAGTTAATTTAGGATAGAATGAACAATTTTATACAGTCTTGCTGCTTAATGATGGACATACATTCTGAGAAATGCATGGTTAGGTGATTTCATCATTGTGTGAACATCGTAGAGTGCACTTACCCAAACCTAGATGGTACCGCCTACCACGAACCTGGGCTATGTGATATAGCCTATTTCTCCTAGGCTACAAGCCTGTTCATCATGTTACTATACAAAACAACAGAAGATTAAATCCAGCACAAGAGAAAAATAATGCAATCAAGACACACAGTAAACACCAGATGTAAGAGGCTGCTGACAGTGTAACAGACTGTGTGGACTGTAGAAGGGGTCTGAGCCAATTATTTCCCAGTCCTGACCTCCCTCTGCCAAACTAACTTCCATGTGCTAACCTAAAAATAAAAGGGCCTTTCAAAATGAGAGGGAAACAAGAGTTTATTTGAGATCAGTAAGAATAGCTATTTGAGAATCATTAATTCACGCAGAAGCCCAAATAATGTTCCAATTAGGAGACAAAGGCGATGGGTATTTATGAGAAAGAAGGCATTCCTATTGGTGCACATAACATAGTGATTCTAAACAATGTCTTTAATTTTCAGTCCAGTAGTCGTCAGTCCAGTAGTCATGATAACTGCTTTTTTTGTTACCTTTGCAAAATGCATGGTTAGGTTCTATGAGAAATAAAGTTGCTTAGGCCAGACCAAAGGTTATTTTATCCTGTTTTTAACGTTCTAACATTTGAGGTGTAACATGTAAGGCAGTTCCTCTGGCATGGCAGCTTTGGCTCCATTTAAAGTGGCTCCATTTATATTATTGTTTATAACTAGGTTCTCTGTTTTAAAAGTTATTTAATTTTTACTAGCCGCCCACCACTGCACCTGACCAGTTCTCTGCTGGCTGGTGCAGTCCAGTAGCGAGCTGATATTAAACCCCAGCTCAGGAAACAGGGTTGTTCTTCATGTGGATGACTCTGTACTGAGAGCATGGGAACACCCTGGAAAGAAAAAAGAAAGAAAAACAAATAAAAAATTATTTAGTTAAAAAAAGTTTGTTCGATTCTAGTTGCCATTCAATGTTGTATGGGGTTCTCTTTTTTTAAATAAGACTTCCTTTCAAGTTAGCCAAGGACTAGATTTGAGGAAGGAAAGACATCAAACAATTTTCATTTAAAAGGAAGTGCAAAAGCAGAAAAGAAAAACAACGAAGAGGCAAAGCCAGCTGTTTCCTACAAACTTTTGACAATGTTGCAGCTGTTTACTGTCTTTTCACCGCAGTGGAAACTGGCCTGCTGCTTTTCTAGTCTGCTTCTCTTATTCCAACAGCTGTAACTTTGCCAGTCTTTTTCCTACATGGTAAGATTCTGAGACACCTGGTCAGTTCTCATCAAAGCTATAATTTTCTTACAATAGGCATAATAAGATGACACTTTACAAATATTACCTCGTTTAATTTAATCTTCATAGTTACCCAATGAGGAAAACTGTATTATTACCCACATTTGATGAGGAAAGTGAGATTTAAGCCATGTGTCCAAGTAGTCTTTCTGACTCCAAGACCTGTTCTCTAAATGGAGGATTCCAAAATATCTTCCCATTAGCAGGGTACTTGTTAAACACACAGATTTCCAGGCAGCCAGTTCAGAGATCTTGCTTAAGTGTGGAGTGGAGCCCAGCAATCTGTTTCTAACAGACGTCTCTGATGAAGACAGACTTTAAATCGTCACAGTGCTATTCTACGTTTTCCTATACCACCTGACACAGTCTTTTCACAGTTCTCAGTTCTGAGTAGTCGCCCCTTCCTCTGGGTTCTTAGAGCTTTCTGTTCTCATGGCTAGTATGGCAGGAAACCCACTGTGTTGAAATTAGCTGGTTTTATGTCTATTTCCCTGACTAGTGGGGAGCTACTTGATGTCCAGGATTCTGTTTCTTTTTGACTTCCTTTTCCTGGTGTTACCTAGCAAACGCTCGCTGTCCAATGCACAAAGGAACCAAAACTATGACACTGGCTTTTGAGAAAAAGAAAGAGCCTTTATTATTCTTGGGTCAACCCATGAGGAGACAGGAGATGTTGCTCAAATCTGTCTCTCCAATTTAGGGTTTGGGGAGAATTTTAAGGGGTTAGGGGGAACATGATGGTATGTGGAAGTGCTGACAGGGCAGGTTTTGGTTGGAGAGTTTTGGAATTTGAACATCTATGATAAAAAAAAAAATGGTAAGGGTCTTCAGCACTAGATTTTCCTGGACAACGAACCCTTCACTTCTGAAAGGGTTCCGTTATTCAAGTTCCAGCCATGTTTAGGTCCTTTTGTCCCTTGGAGAGGAGGGAGACTTTGGTTCTGATGCAGCTGAAAGTCAAAGTTTTTTGTACATGCTTCAACTGCACGTCTTGTGATTTTGGTCTGTTGTCTCTGAAAACAACTTTGTATCTTGTTAGAAACAGGATAGGACCATTTTGAGCTGGTTCTGTGGTTACACTGGATTGCTCCTTTCACTCATCTTTACTTAGTTTGGTTCTCCTTATTATCTGGGCCCTAATTTGAAAGGTCCCTCATCAGAGAAACCTTTTCTGATGACCTAATTAAGAAGTCCACCACTCATTCACTGCCACGTCACCGTATTGCATCATCTACCATGAAGTACAGAGCTTCACACAGTAGGTGCTCAATTAGAATTGGATTATCCAAAGGCAGATTAAGTACATTCTTAGAGCACCAAAAAGACAAGGGTAACAAACATTTTTAGAAGAAGTTGACATATGATTATATTTTTAAACTACATGAGAGGTCATGTGAAAAAAAAAAAATCAGGATCTTGCTCATCTCCCTTCTACTTATATTATGGCCTTGTATTATTACATATAGAATTACATATTGGGAATGGGCTCCATAACATTTTGGGGCTTTGGGCCTCCAAAGGTTTTAATCTGGCACTAGTTTATGCTTATCATCATCTTCTTTTTTTTACAACATCTTGAAAATAAATTGGGCAGGTATTATACCCCAGTCCCTTTTTGATGATGTTATGAAGAAGAAGAAGAAGAAGAAGAAGAAGAAGAAGAAGAAGAAGAAGAAGAAGAAGAAGAAGAAAAACGGTCCTCATTACCATTCTTGGGCATTCTCAACTAGTGAAGTTCATTCGTCTGTTTTCAAGGAGGAGGAGGAGGAGGAGGAGGAGGAGGACGAGGACGAGGAAAGAGAAGAAGAAGGAGAAGAAAGGGAAGAAGAAGGGGAAGACGAAGGAGAAGAAGAAGAAGAAGAGGAAGAAGAGATAGTATTAGATCCCCCAGGCTAAGGGCCCAACCCACTTTGTTGCTGCTAATCCCTTCTGTTACCTGTGCTTCTGGCCTACCATCTACAGATTGCAGGTTCTAATGATTCCCTATTTGGTTTCCATTAATTTGCTGTAGCAGCTCACAGAACTCAGAGAAACATTTTCCTTACTAGATTACTGATCTATTATACATGATATAATTCAGGAACAACCAGATAGAAGAGATGCATAGGGCAAGGTATGGGGATAGGGCTCAAAGTTACCATGCCTTCTCCCCAAATGTCCATGTGTTCACCAACCTGGAAGTTCTCCAAGCCTTGTTCTTTTGGGTGTTTATGGAGGTTTCCTCAAGTAGACATTATTGATTAAACCATTGGAAATTGGTCTGGGGGTGGGATTGAAAATTGTAACCTCCTAATCACAGATTTGGTTCCCCCCAACAACCAACCCCAGTCCTTATGTTGGATCCAAAATCCATCTCATAACATAACAAAAGACACCTTTGTTACTGTCATCACTTAGGAAATTCCAAGGATTTTAAGAACTCTGTGCCAGAAATGGGGACTAAGACCAAATACATATTTCTTATTATAAATCACAACATCACACCAGTCAGCAAGACCCAAAATGCCAGAGTATCATGAGTATAAAAATAAGAAAATATAGTTTATACAGTTTAGTCCTGTAAACTCCATAAGGATGATTGGAACATTGCTGTAGACTTCTGGAAACCATCATTTTCTTACTGGAAGAAGGCCTGAGAGGAATGCAAACACCTATTCTTTTTCCATTGTCTCAGAACGTAATTAAAGTTTGACTTGACATTCTTCCCTAGACTTGGGGGTGACAGATCAAATTTTCTTGCTCTTCCTGGTTTTTAAAGAAAGAATTTTTGTAAACGTGTTGTCTTTTACTAATATTCTCAACAAACGTTGGCAAAGATGTGGCTCAGAATGAAACTACTGTTTTCATATGTAAATGAAGACATAGGTCCTGTAAAATCTTTAAAGGAAAGCAATTTGAGGAGACAAAAGCATATTATCATTACAAGGACCTGTCCCTTTCTAGCACCTACATAACTGGGCCAGCAAACTGTTTAAACTCATCCCGATTCAAAATGAGGATGAGATGGAGAAAACAAGAGGAAACGGAGAAATGAGAAGTTTAAGGCAATTACAAGGTCACTCAGGGATCTGTGGTACAAAAAGAATGTTTAGCAGAAATCAGGAACAGTTCTCTCTTCCACATTTGGGAAGAATCTTTGTTAAATCATCTTTTGCTGTAGCCTCCTTTAATTTGTTGTTACTGTTGATACATTCTTCTGACTAACTCTTCATTGAATTTTTACAGTAGCAAATGAATCAATTTATCAATATACAGTGAGCTTAGTACAATATTTAGAAAATTTGATATCGTAGCATCTTAGAATCATAGAAATTTTAGGAATTAGAAGATTAATCTTTTACCTGTGCAGGAATTAATTTTGAAACGTAGTTATATAGTTAATACAGGCAACTTATTCCATTACTGAACACTTTGTGGTATTAATTGTGATGACTGGATAAGTACATAGCCCTTTAATGATATGATTTGATACAAAAAATAAAATTGAGTCTACAGTCATGCTACCCTGAACATGCCTGATCCCGTCTTATCTCGGAAGCTAAGCAGGGTCAGGCCTGCTTAGTACTTGGATGGGAGACCACCTAGGAAAACCAGGTGCTGTAGGCGTAAAAAATAAAAAAATAAGGGATTGTAAGCTGACAAAGTCCTTGCAATCTGTGAGGTCAACCAAGGGTTGCCTTGCCTAAAAAATAAAATAAAATAAGTAAAAATAAAAATAAAATAAAATTGAGGATAAATAGAGAAAAAAAAAATAAACCAGAAAAGTGTCTAGCAGAATCTTCCAGCTGAAAATCAGGTCAGTAATTTTCATTCAAAATTAGTTCTCAAAGTCAGTATTTTGATAAGACCATAGAGAATTTATGGATATTTTCTGAAGAGCATGGATTTTCAAAATTCTATACTGCTAGTTGTACGTGAAGAATGCTTTTTGGGATGTAAGAAGGAAAAATGTGGCTGACTTTAATATTGAGTGAATTTGAATATATTACATATTAACATAATGAACGACATACTTTATGATGACTACAGGGTTGGATAATTTATAGCAGCTCATCCTTCTTATCACAGATCTAGACCCTTTCTGTCTTCTTGCTCTGCCTTCCTCAGATGTTGGCTTTATCCTCAACTGTGTCCTCAAATTTCAAGATGAATGCCATATCTCCAGGCATCTCATCTTCAGATACCAGTTTTTCACAGCTGGAAGAGCTAGAGAAGGGGTACTCGATTTCCTCATTTATCTTTTGAAGAGATCAGGAAACCATTTCTTAAGACTTTCCTCTCTTATTGGCAAAAACTGTGTGGCATGCCCATTCTTAATCGAAGCAATGACGAAGGCAGTGGTCACCATGGTTGGCTCAAAGCAGTCTTGAGTTACACCTCTGGAGCTGGGGAAAAATCCAGCCTCCCTTAAAGTTTATGGCCCACTGATTCCTGAAAATCCTTAGGTTTCTATTGACAAAGGTAAAGGGGAAAATGGATGTGAGACAGATCAACCCATGAAGAAAGCAGTTTGTTTTGACAGGCAGTGGTACACAGAGAAGGGTTTATATTTCCTCAAAAAAATTTAACAAAATCCTTATTATTCACAAGTTCTTTTAAA